AATTTTGAGATGTGTCAAAATGTTTAATTGATTTCAAAGACCGATTTCTTAATACGACGTGGGGTCGGGGTTATATTGCGCTTATTTTGTCGTGGTAATATAGAGTCTCTACCCAAGTTGTTTCAGCTTTCGTATCGATCTGTATCGCAAATCTTAGTTTAAGTTCGTGTGGAGTAGTGAACCGTCTAAATTTACTGTACCAGAATGATTCTTTTCTCTGGTGGTTTCCCTTTTTCGTATATTTCTCCCCCATCCCTAATTTGTCATATTGTTTATAAGGTCAATTGCCTTTACACTCATTGCAGTTTTGTTTGCTATTTTATTTTGAAATATATTCCCAAGTCTTAACGAAACATGGCGTGGTTCCTTTTCAATTAAAAGGATTCATAATGTTTGAAATTCGAATTTGTTTGTCAGAGATCTTGGTCCAGGTCTGCTTATGTGCATTTTCCCGATATTTAAAAATGTTCCCATGTAACTTTCAATTTGAACTGAAGTGAACTTGATATTTATGATCAAATAATAAACATTCCCCCGAACCCGACAATTTTATAACATGATTTAAGATGTATTTCCTTTATCCATCTTTTATGTAGGTAGTTGTTTATTCCATATCTATTTATAAAAACCCTGCCCCTCAATTCAGCTATGCTTTTGAACTTTTGTCGGTAGCTGGATGAAAAGTAATCTTAGGCCTAAAAATAAATTACTTGAGTTGAACTTTTCTACCAAATATATCATACTGATCTACCAGATATTTCATACGAGTCCTACATGCTTGTACATACAATTCCTTTTCTTTTTCACAGTCGTAAGATTTTGCTCATACTTGTGGACGCGTATTTTAATTATATAACATGATTACCTCTGTTATTTTTTTCATGTTTTCAGGTTTAAGATTTTCCATTCTTCGTTTTCCTTTATATGTATCCTTCTTGTTACGTTCCATTCTCCACATCTCACCCTGGACATGTTCTCAGGTTCAATGACATTCCCTTATCAAGAACATACGTCAAACAAAAGATATAATTTCTCTTCTCTGATTCCGCCGACTGTTACCTCACTCTTGGGTCGCATCGTTAACTGGGAGAGTTTCGATCGAAATTAGGGGGCATTAGCCTGCGCAGTTTATATCATCTTGGTCATAAAGCCACACCGGTTTAGATACAGGCGCTCTGACAGTGTCCGTATGGTGTTTTTGGAAATCCTTTATTCCGTATTTCTTTTTCTCTTTTTGATTTGTAATAATGAAAAAGATTGTTTTAAAACAAAGCCTTTTCCCGATTTCCGTTTAGTTCGTCGTAATAAAAAAGAAGATATTATTTGTAGAATTCCTGTGTTATCAAGAAATGCTTTATATAGTCCTGGGAAACCATTTCGTTGACAATTTGCGACTCTTTTTCTACCCTCCTCAACCTTGAACGACGAGACAGTTTTGTTAACTAGCTAACTCTTTAAAACCATACATACAGTTTTTAAAAAAATCCATATATTAGACATTAAAAAAAAACACTGTCTTCCCCCAATAAGCTTTCCTGTTGCGTCTCTGTCAATCTTTGGTCGAGGAAAGTCAGTTGCTCCATTATTTTGAGGGTCATGGCACATTCGGAGATGCCATTAAATGAAATATACATTTGGTCGTAAACCTTTTGTTTAAGCATCGCTTTGGCTCCAAGTAAAACAAAATATGAAGAACCTGGGAAAATAGATACATTTAGAACACAATTTTCGTCTGTTGAAAGAGGTGCTTGCGTTTTTGTTCTTTGAGAAACGACAGGTCGTTGACAAAGTGAAAGTTATCGCACATAAGTCATCCCTAACTCGTAATTAATTCCGCCCATCGTCATCCTCCCTCACCAATACAAGCATAATGTTAGAAGGCAGAGGCGACAAGACAAGTTTAATGTCACGATCATATTCTTGAGATTGAGGTCAAGGGTTAAAGGTCGTGGGTTAACGACGGAGAGGGGGTAATTCGTATGGTATTCGTCTGAGATCCGAAGGGAGTGATCTGCCGTTTGTTCACCTTTCCTGATGTGGTCGGGTATCTCAGTGTGTTCACATGTTCTATTTTTGTTTTTTTCAATCCACCCATTGGCCTATGTTCTATATCAATTTTTAAACCAACGACCTTATAATATCATCCGATTTCTGGCGTTAGAAAAAAGGGTCTCGGATAATCGAATAAGCGGTTGTAAAGCAGTGCTTTTATGAAACAATTGAACATTGAACCATGTGACCGCCTCCTTCCTACTGCATCAGAGCATTCATTTAACTTTACGCATTGCAGGCGATATGTCCTGAAAAGTGAATTGATAGTTTTAGTTTTGGCGCTCTTTGTGTTGACTGAAAGAAAATTTCTTGGCAAACATTATTTGTCGTGCATTATAATTCTATTGGGCTCTCGCTAAAAATTAATGTGCTAAACCGCCGTTTGAATTTTAGAATCCGGAAATCTATAAAAGTATTGATGTTGGTGTAGTGTTGTTCGCGTTTGAAGCGCCTACTGCTTTGGTCTTGGTATTAACATAAAGTGTGAACACATCTCCGTTCTTGATGGCGGATGATTTATTGAGGCCATCTAGCATTGTGCATTAAAAGAAAAAGAGAACATGTGAGAGGAATATATAGAGAAAGAGAAACAAATAAGTACATGTAACAATCTGCTCTAACTTTTTACCCAGTAATGGGGCTCCTTCTTCAGAATCCACGTTGCATTTGAAAATGAAAGTTGGTTTGTCTTATGGACTTGGCCATTGTCTTAAATTTCCTTGCAGTAGACCTAAACTTTATTCCATGTGATTTACAGTTTAAGTCTTATGTCAAATTCATAGCAATCGTGTTTGGGCGGTTAATGTTAATCTTGTTATCTGACTCAATTGGGGCAGTTTAACTGCAAGATGTATTAAGTCCAGTCACGAAAGTTCCTCACTTATGACACTCTTGATGATAAGTAAAAACCGGGCCATTTTCTGATATTTATGGAATCCTGTTTCTCTATCAGACTTCTTGTAAACATGCACTTTATATTCAGATATTAATCATCAAATGAGAATAATCTAAATTGAATTTCTGATAATACCTTATACACTGATCATTTTCGAAACTCCTTGACACCACTTTACCTTCAGCTCTGCTCTGAAAAGTGCAGCCGATCTCCGGTCACAAATTTAACTACGTTAACATCTTTTTATGAAATAATTAAAGCTCATCTGCTGCATGTGCTGGCGAATTGTAATTCGATCATGCATTTTGAAGGTCAATTTCAACCCTTCATCTTAAAACAAACACATCGGGGTGTTCAGCAATGGAAATGCGACATTTCCCCCACCAATTTCTGAAACAACTGACCTATATTGTCAATAGAATTACTGTTTCTCCAACGCGATACCGGTCTTCGTTACACGTTTCCGTGCTTTAGGATGAAGCGCGCGAGAGCCTGCGTGTAAAGTGGGTAATTAAACGCGTTAAGTTTTAATTAGCATGCATGTTTCTTCAATCAGGCGAATATCTGTGACTGGTTTTCCATACGGGTACGTATCATCATCACCTATTACAATGATTGGCCATGCCCCAGACCTCTCTTGTCTGATATACATAGCATTTCAGTACTGAGATTATAATAATGATATAATTTTCCGCTTTTATATAGCGCCCAATACAGCGCTTTACAGATATATTATTACCCCGGTCATCGGATTCAGGCTTACCCACACACAATGTATGCACATTCTCCACTCCCTAGCTAGGGAGCATTCCGGCCAGTCGCCATTTTACAAGCTCACACTCGCTCATCCAACGACATTAACTTTCGCACCTACCGGGTACCCATTTAACACCTGGGTAGAGAGTGGCAAATGTAGATGAACGTCTTGCCAAAGGACATTAGTGCTGCGGCGGGACTCGAACCTCGTACCTTGTGATCTGCAGTTGGGTGACTTGGGATAGACTTATCCGCTAGTAAATATTCACGTTGATATAATTTCAATGCTTGTTGCTGGAAGTTAAGAGATTAAACCCTTAAACCAAACATTTATTCATACTTTTGTAAATCATTTTCAGTAACGATAAATTCGATAGAATTATACATTCATAGTATTTCAAATGTTATTTGAAAGATTAAACCTTACAAATCTAAAATATTGTTATATTTTTAGTCCTGATGTTTGAAATAATCCTGTTAACCTTGATGACCGGCTCAAAAATGAGATCAATACGTAGTCAGCCATTTATATTAGGGACTTTTAGATTAGGGACTTTTAGATTAGAACGCGGACTGCCCTTTTAAGGCAATGTGACGTCACTGCCAGTGCCTTAAAAGGACGTCACATTGCCTTAAAAGGGCAGTCCACGTTCTCGTCGTACAGAATCTAAAAGTCCCTATTATATTTCTCCGTGTGACCATGGTCACCGTCAGTATTCATGACCGGTCGAACATGACCTCAAATCCGAACACAGCGGGTCTGGAGAGGCGTAGCCTTTACGGAAGAATTAATTGCAATAATTTGTTCCCCTCTAATTAGAACATTACAACCATGTGGGGCAGCACTGCGGTTGTCCTAGTTATTATGGCCTGCCATAATACACTTCACCGCAGATTTCTTTCTCTCTAACTATTCCTCCCTGACATTAGTTTTCACGAGGGATCAATAAAAGATGTTGTTGTGGTTCTTGTTTGTTTCGGATGGTTTTCCTTTAGTTTGTGGAGAGAAACTGTTAGATTTAAAGGCCTATCCGAAATAGAGTGGAAGGTAAACTTAAATCGTTCACAGAAAAACACCTTCAAAAGTTACTCTCCTTCAATGCGTAGTTTCACGGTGCGTGTTCCTAATATACTTTACATGATATGTCCCCGACCTGCCACCACTTCTTCTGTTCTTCGTCTGGTTTTCACCCTGAAGTCTTCGTCGATCTCAACATAAGTTTGGGGGTACTAACCGCACTGGCATCGCCACGGGAAATCGGCGCCATAGAATAATGGGGGGGGGGGGGGGGGCTTAAGTAATTTTATAAATTGGTATCCTGCTTCAGAACCATCGTCCTAGGTTTTAATTAAAGTTCCACTTTTGCTAAGTCAGAGGTGATCAAAAATTATGAAATATGCTATTGTACCCTATAAATACACTCAGTGATTGTACTTGAGATTTGAATTGACGTATTTCTGCTCCACTTTACCCATTTATTTTCTTTGTTTCATTGTTCAATGCTAATTGACTAAAAGCAGTGGGGACAACGGGCACAAATTCCTGACATACTTTTGGAAATATTTGATACAAAAGTACACGTAACCCGGTAACAGTTACTGTGTCGTTGCGTTCATTATACAGTTACGCGTTGAGTGATTCATACAGTCTTCTTTGCACTACATGCAGTCATATTTTAGGTCATACATTACAAACACTCTTCCTAAATAAATAAAATATAAATTCATGCTTTGGAAATGCGACTGACTGTATAGATGGTATATTTACCTATTATCTGGTTAATGTTGAGAGCTCTGTTAAGGGCCTTCTCCATGCACGATTCATTCTCGAGAGGAATGCAAACATACCTACTCGAGATGGAGTACGTCACTACAATCACGTAATCATTGGAACACGTGTCGAATGGAGATGTTCACGAGCAATTGAAATATTTCCATGCGTATCTAATGACCACCTTTAACCCTACTGCCACCTGTAAAAATGATTCGAAAATGGGGAGAATGAATAGAATACATATGAATTATAATTGTGCGAAAATGCCACACTTTGCTCCGAGAATAGAAATGTGTTTATTGCAATATAGGCGGTAACAAAGAAAACGAAACGTGAAAGGTGTTGCGTCTAGTACCCTCTAGAAGATTAATTGCCTTAATGGCGAGTTAGCGTGATCATGCTGTTGTGTTATCGGAATGCAAAGTTTTATTTATGAATCCGCGGGAATGTTTATCAATATTAGAGAATTATTCCAGTTGTACTTTGATATATTGGATCAAGTCTCATAATTCTAATAACATGATGCGTGTTCTAGGTTGCCACCAGAGGTTAAACTTAGTTCTGTAACAATGTCAAGTAAATGCAGATATTCATTTATATCAAAGAAGAGCTTATTGTGTAATATACAAAACAAAACAATTTCAGACATCCATCAATCCAGGGGCGTTGCTAGCCAAGGTATTAAAATAAGGAATAAAAGCCAAAAGAATAAGAAAAACGATTTCCGATCTTCAAATATGCGATGAACAGGTAAACAAACTAACAAGCAAACAAAATGGACTATCGAAACTCAAAATTGTCGACAAGGCATTATGAAAAGAAAAGATATTAAGCCCATTTACAAAGCCCGAAAACTATTTTGAGGTTCTCTTTCATTTGATATGCCGATGTGCCTTGGAGAAAATTTATGTTTGTCGATCATTTTTTCCCGGGGAGGGGGTTCACATCTCTCCCTTAAAGCGGCGCCCCTACATAAGTCCCCTTTCAATCATCATTCGAAAAGTCAATGTGGTGCAGTAGAGTATAAGGTTAAATTCCCCATTTTTTAAATACCATATGTTGGCATTTGCTATATACAGGAACCTGATTTGGATGCGATTAAGTTGTGTTTTTGGATGACAATATCGTCAAGTATTCCCACTTTTACGGCCAGTTTTTCCTCCATGCCAATCGCGATCTCACCTCAGGCTTCAATCATCTCTATGCGTGTGTGCGCGAGTGTTCAATTTGTGTGTGTGTGCGTGCGTGTGTGTGTGTGTGTGTATAGAGTCATGCCAGATCCCAGTTCTGTCTATGTTTTCCTCGGATACATGTTTACCCCAAATCTGCCCGTTTCTTTCTCCTCCCAGGCTACATCATCAGTGTAATGAAGTCCCGCGGCAGGGCTTAGCAACTTATTACGTTTCCTCCCCCAATTGATATCCATACTCCGAATCGATAATCTATGCAAATAGAACTATCTGCTGATTTAAGTTCTCCGAGATTTTGCTCGCTTTCTCTGATTTTGTTCTACCCTCCTATGTATCGCTCTTGACAAATGTGGTGATTCTCCTTCTCTATGTTTAGCTCAAACGAAGATGTATATTTTTCTTCATTATGTGATTGATAGGTAGCTTATAACAGATGATTGAATTAATTCCTCTTGATTATGGTGGAGAAAGTGGAATTTCACAATTTGCATAATTTCGATCAAAATTCAGCAGTTTTCGCCACAGCTGCTTATATCTTCGACGATAATCCCGAAATGAATGCGCGGTAATCATTGAATATCAAGAAATCAAACCACTGACTGTTTAACTTTTCACAAACTGATCTCGAGCAACAGGAAAAACATGTTATGAGAATAAGAAATGCAGAAAAGATAACCAATGCAGAAATATTAGGTTATTAGGATTACAGGGAGGAGCTGTATATGAGATTATATTTATACGATTTCTGATACATGAATAATGTTTCCCGAGTATTTATCCCTCTACTCGTGCTTACATTGTGTACATTTTCTTATTCAGGCTTATTTGTAAATTATTTGTGGTATATAAAATATTTCTCGCTACAAGTCCTTGCAAACCCCTTTTACTATACATGCATAGGCAATTGAGTAATGGTGATTCTATCATTGTGTAGTACGCATAGATTGTGTCATAAATATTGTGTCAATATGCTTCGGGACCTGCCAATAATGCATTTTGAAGAAATGTGTGCTGTTTTATATAGGCAAAACGAATTTTGTATGTTTATCATTCAAATAAAAAAAAAATGATATAATCTTGGACTGTAATCAGTTCAGGATTGAAGTAAATTCTCACTACATTTGATATTTTCTTTGCTTACATACTAAACTGATTTTCTTTCCGCCTATTTTGCAAATGAACTTTCTGCCGAGCAGAAAATCAAATTGGCGACTAACAGTGTTTAGAGGAAGTGTATGAAAATATTGTGATATTAGATGAAATTCTTGAGGGAATCCGTGTGATGGTGTTTCTTTTGGGGGGCCTCGAGTTGCCAGTCTCTTCAGGCATAGCTCCTGGGGTAACCCGACCGCTTGGTTCGCAGTCAAGATCGATACGTAAGCCTCATTAAAGGGTTTTCAAAAACCGCAGTGGACCCGGGCAGTGCGATTGCTCCTCCGAATTACGTTTTTATTTCAGGCGTACCCCTTGTTTGACGGTTCCCGCTAATTACGTTATAACGCGATTGGATGTTCGTTATTGCATTATTCGGCGATTATTCGTTCATTTACGCTGATTAAAGTGCCCGTGTAGGACGTATTATGTGACGTTTAATAGCATTGGATTCGCGCGCTGATTTCCCTGAGGTTTTTGAAGGGGCGCTCCCCCACTCAAACCGCGCAATCCATCCGTGTATACTTGCGCCGACCACGAAACGCAAAGCAGAAACCAACAAGACATTGCTCCATGACACTATTGGATAATTTGCCTTTTCAGGGTGTTATATCTTTCCGCTGTCCCTTTTTGATTGTTTCCTTCTTTGTGGCATTGTGTTACTGAATAGCTCTCCCTACTGAATTAGACAGTGTCACGCGGTGTGCAATCTCTTTAGCTTTAAACGGGCGCGCGCGCAACTCGAGAAAGCTCCCCCGATGGGACGACGCCACCACAAAGAATGAAAGGAGGAAACCGCATCTTCAAATTATAAAGCCTCAGTTTTGATAATCGAATTATCAAGTGTTAATCCGACTTTTCTCAATAGTATGTACTTAGTATCATCAATGCGAATCAAAACGCCTTTAAGATTCAATTAATTTGCAATTTCTGGTCTCGGTTTGCTTGCGGGCTGGAGCCTAGCTGCGGGATTTTACGCATTAGCTAATGTAATTTTCCCTAAGCGTTGCGTCTCTTGGAGGGGGAGTTAAATCTAATAAGTCCGTTTCTCGCATGCAGTGAAACATATCGCTTCAGTCGGCAGTTCGTAGTGAGCCTTGTGCCATGAACCGTTTTGGCTTGAAATTTATCCAATCCGTAGTTGTGATTAGAAAAATAAATTTCATTCTCTTGTTTTCTGTCGGTCCCTTTCCCCTCACTGCCTATCATCACCGTCTTTTTGGTCTGGTTTACTTATTTCATATCTACAGCAGAAAGTGTTTGGATCATTTACATTCAGTTATGACTTATTCCTAGGCATTACTTTGTTGAATGTCTACCGAGGTAAATTTGTTTATGTGATAAGGTAAATGAAGAATTTGCACCGAATATAAAATTCAAGTTCTTCTTAAAGTGAAACATGATAATTTATGTGTTCACTTTAAGCGCATAGATAAACATATTTTAATCTTTAAAAACCATCAAAATGTCGGACTAAAGGCCATGACAATAACCGGTATGGGTTTTAGAGAAAATTGTGCCTTGAAACCCACACTGTTTTTTAATGCAAATTGACGTTTTGAGACATGTTTTGTGATTATTGGTAAAGATGTCCACAAAATAATTTACAAACCATGATATTTTATTTTGATTACCACTAGATAATTATCACCCCCCTCTCTTGCAATTTCAGTCATTTGTATTTCAAGAGTTTTTTTTCTCTCACATATCCCCTACTTATTGGGCTGTGTGCCGAGTTCAATATTTAAACTAATTAATGGTGCAAATTGTTATATTAATACAAAAATGTTATTTTTTGGCCAAAAAATATCATAATTCTTTATCTGTTTGATAAGCAGATCACAGCTTCATGCCAAATTATCCTTACGGCTGCCACACTAAATTAGACATAGGGCAATCAGTCGTAAATAGATGGTCTCTTTGTATCTTGCGAAATTAAATATGCCATTCATCATGTTTATCATCCCCCTAATTGTGTTGTAGAGAGTGGGATGAAGCCCCATCTTCTGTCATATTCTCCCTCAATTATCGCCCGTGGTGCAAGTGTTTTCTATACCTTTTCTATTCCCCACCGACTTTGAGATGATGTCGAAGAGGGAAAACGGGCGTTACGCGCTCGTTCTCGCAACCAGTGATGCGCATAGTTACGGTACAGACACGTGTCAAAGCCTCGCTTTGCAGCTACCGGGCTAGAGAGTTAGAAGGAAAAAAATGGTGGAACTGTCTTGACTTTAAAAATACAGTTCTGCTACCATTGCTTTCTGAGTAATGGTGTGGTTGCCCACTGAAGAACAACAATTCATCACGTGCATGCTATTCACGTTTATAATGAAGCACGGATGGATGAAGTATGTATCTCTCGGCACCAGTCTCATTTATGATGTTGCAAAGTTTATTGGAGAGGCGATTACGGTGGTTAATCGGGTTTAATTTGGGCGCGATCAACTTGGAAGTTCGGTGACGTTCATCTTTCTGTTCAGTCTGAGAGCTCTTTGTAGATTCAGATTGAGGACCTAATGTTAAAAGTTTGACATGGTTCGTGGACATGATTAATAGAACGTGGTAGCGTATTGTTGTATATTTTTTGTGCACGATTGAAATTCAAAGGTTTATGTACATGCATAACTATATGGGCTCTAACGTTCTACTGTTATTTTAATCAACTACATAACATACGGATAATATTGACTAAGGATGAAATTTATTCATCACAGTTGGTTGGTCAAATTATGGTGATGATTACAGAAAGCGATCAGTGAAAGATAAACTCACAGGAAAATTACGTAAACTCAATCCAAAAGAATATGTTCAGTCATCAATGTATTAAAGATATCTTCGGCAATGTTACGTTTTGGTGTTTTCTGATTTGTCCGAAGGGAGTGGGAGGGGATCTTTGATGTCTTTAATGGAATTATTTAATTACCTTATTTTTCTTCAGTTCACTGTAATGCCCTTTTTATTATTTATTTTGAAGAAAATCAGATGATCGCTAAAACAAGATTGTTTCCAAGACAACGCATCCAATATATACGTATTATTTGACACAGTGCAATTGCTCAAAGAAGAGACAAGTTGCACCTAACCACTCAATCCAATAAAGAGATATGTGGTATAATGGACGACAAAAGCTACAGTTGCATACTAATTCATGATTTTCCTCTCTTTTCATGAAATTGATGTTATAGAGAGCGACCATCCGTGACCAAAATATTCAATTGTGTGCGGGTACCCGCGCGGCAGTTGTCAACTTCAATACTCGGTAGCAAGTGCAGCGTGCCTGCCTGAAAAATCCCCTGGAAATGGAAGGAGGAATGAATGTTCGATCTCGTAATGATAGCAGGCTTCACAGACAGAGAGAGAGAGAGAGAAAAAAAAGGATGATTTGATAACAAGAAATTATAATATATTATATAAAACGTAATAGAATTTTTGAAGTTTTACTCGAGGAATTGATGAATGATGCTGACCTTTCTCGCATACCAGTTAACAAAACGTCTAGTGGTCAAAGTCGCCAAATTCTCTGGTAATACACACAAAAAAGTAAAGGCATTTCTATTGATAGTGGAAAATTAAAATGCTCTACCTTATTCTATATTTCATTAATGTCGTGAAGACAATGTAAAACAAAAAATGCAGCTTCATTCGAATAAAATTATGCTGCCCCTGATTGTAAAATAACTCCTACCCCAAAAACGCATTTATTCGCCGTTTTTGGCTATATTGTGAGAAGAATTTTAGGGGGAAAAGGGTTTCATTTAATTGACTTGGGGAAATTTCATCGCTAAACGATGGCACCATTAATTTATGCGAATTGCATAGATATTGATAGCGAAGAATGAATTTTAAATCCACCCCGAAGGATGTCTATCATAAAAATATTTGATTTATGGATGTCTTGAGTGCACCATCACCACGCGTCTCAAAATCCCTGCTTTGCTTCTTAGCCCAAATTGAGTCGTCGTTTCTACTCACCTTATTAAAGGTACGAGCCCGCGAATTCAAGTGTTCTTGATGGCATGCTTGTCATGGGGAACTGGTATCATAAATAAACAATAAGTCTATTAGATAGGTTGTGATATTTTCAACATGTTGATGGTGAATTCTTCCACGAAATAATGATATTCAAGCGTTTCTAATTGCTGATGCTGTATACAAACAATTCAACAGAAAGGTTTTTACTTTCACATGTTCAGTGACAAGTATCTGTTTTTCTAAATGATTGTGAATACTATTTTATTCTTTTAACTATATTTTCACTTAAAATCTCTAATCACAAACTAAAAAGATCATTGATATCTTCAGGCTAGTAGATTATTGTTTTTTAAACGGATTAAGCATCTAAATCAAGTCTTATTCATGAAAGCCGGCACCTATTATTAAGAACCATAAGTCCTTTTTTATTTTTTTATTGATCAAAACATGAACTTACTACATCGGGTGAAATTAACACCAAACTGATCACCATCCTTTAAACAGTGGCATGGCTAGTCATGTTTCCTTCTAAATCGGGTCTACTTTATTTCAATATTTGGTACCATGGTGCTTGAGGCGCACAGACGGCGTAGGATAATCCTACCGTGTACTGGAAATCAGCCCTGATGGCTTTCCAAACGACGGTGTATAAGCCGTGACGGAAAAGAGGGTCGAAAATCGGACGGGGCTGAGGGCGATTTTTGAGACAAGGAAAGAAGGGGGTGGGAATGGTAAAGATGAAAATTAAGGTTTGATAAAGACAACGGAATCTACATGAAAATCAATGCTGCTATTAAACTATATTTCATCATCATGAACGGGTTGGTAGTTGTTTTTAAATGAGTATTCAAGAACATATACAATATTTGTACAGGGGGAATTGGGAAGGATATTATAAACATGACCAATACCGGATTTGATATTATTTACCAATCGCAATTACAATTATTAGATGGTGCTAAGCCGTCCTCTGCATAAATATGTGGCGATTTGCGATTGATGTTGAAGGAAACAAGGTGTATTTCATATTCAAATTAATTTAATTTAGTTTATTTATTTTAAAGTCCATTTCAAAGTACTTTAAAATCTTTTAAAAAATTTCTATGACAGATTAGTATATTTCCATTTCTTTGTTCATTTGTGTCGTTTTTGTGACAGTTTTGAATATTAACATGTATACGAATGGGAGAAAAAATGTAACAAAGAATTTGATAAAAAGATAATTGAATACATTAATCAGACCTGCAGAAATTAGAATTATCCACTCGGTTGCACTTGGAATGGTAGGTCGTTCTGTGCAATCACTTCTACCAATTAGTCAAAAAATATTTATCCTCACAAATGGACTAATACACTTAATTTGGGTGTTCGGTTGTTCCCCCGTTCCTCAAGTTTAAAGACCTATTCACTCGATGTCACAAACCAAAAATATAATTGACTTTATACATGGTTTATCTGCCTTAAGAGCGAGAGGGGTAACTCCGTATACATTTCATTTCGAGGTTCCGCGGGGGGACTGAAGAGTTGAACGGTATTCATAAATCAAACGCCGTGATCGCATTAGCTCTCTGAAGGGAACGGGGGATTAAAATACAGATCTGGCAGTAATGAATTTGATTAATGTTTCGACACAACTGTAAGAAAACAAAAGATATCAAAATGCTACCAAGTCGACCTAACTTTTAGTAATTACGGATATAAATCTGTTTTCGTAATTGTAGCAGAAAATAGCAAAATATAAAACTATCAATCATGAAGAAAGACTATAATTGAATCCAGATAGTTTTCAATTTCTTTTGCTCTGGCCAGATGGAAAATAATATTCTACATTTTATTTATTTCAAAGGGATTTCGCATTGTGCTGGTGAGTGTATGTAGAGCCAGATGTGTATTTTGATATGTTACGAATATGAAGTTCGAAGTACCATATTTTACGACATTAAGGTGAGAATGGAACCGTTAACACGAATGTCAAGTACATTATACAGCGGAGCGGAACATGGGCATTTCTTTGTCCATGTATCGGTTAAATATTGAAAAGTTCATATTAAAGATACGTCTATTAATATTGAAAGCTTTCTAAAACAAATTTATGAAAAGAAAAAGAAGTTCAGATATTTGGGCGTGCAACATTTCGAATATATATTATTTGCAGGTTGATCCTCTCATTTTAAGAATCAAGAATAATGAAGCTGCTTTTCATCAATAATGCTGCTTGTCTTAGTTCTTTCCAAAAAAATAATTTTCCACACGCCACGAGTTTTTATTGTCTTCTAATTCGTCATGACAGACGAAGATTAATTCTTTACGAGTGACGCCAGCACCATCACACAAAACTGCATCTTCGAACAATGAGGGGATGTGGAGTTGCTCCGAGTTGATAAATTTCCGTGTAAACGATACCGTGAAATTAATTTTCGCATTTTGACAGTGAAGAGCTACAGCGGTTCATTTTGGTGTAATTGATGCCGCCATATCATTTTAACTTGAGCGGTGAAGAATTTGAGCTTCTTAGATCTGACATACTGTCGTAATTTCCTTTCACTGTGTAGCTTCAAACTCTCTATCTTCCTCGCATGATTTATATTCTTTTTCTTTTCTGATTGTTATTGGAGGCCAGAATTGAAAGGGATAATGATCTTCAAAACAAAACGATGAAAGGCACCGTCAGCTGTATACCTCTTCTTGAAATCAGCAGCTTTCCTTTTAACGAAGTTATGGGTTTAAATGTTAGAGTATCGACAATATCAAGTGTCTGCAAATATTGTAATGACAAAATCAACATCTTATAAGATAATCATCTTGAATTCCTTTCTGAGAAACTGCGATGATAAACTCATCCGTGGAGTGGACATTTGACGATATTTGCATTGCCTTGCGTCTTAAGTGCCACACTCGTCTTACTCACGTGTACCTGGGTATTATAAGCACATTTACTCCCTTACAAACGGATAAAATGATATACCAAAAGGGCGATCATGCATTGAGATGCATGCTGCATTTTTTCTCTCCCATACATCAAATTGGATTTTCAACTCGGGCCGAAATAATCGGTTTAGTCAGCCAAACGTTTTTGCCACTCCGTGAGCGAGCTGTGAATTAATGAAGAAGTCTAGTCCCATTCTCTCAGCGTCGTTGTCATCCGTGAAAATGATTACTTTTACAGCCTACCAATGCGGTGGTGTGGCAATGGCATTGCAAGGTCAAAAAAGCAACAATATTTTTCATAATCGGGATGATGTCTCGAGCAATAACAGTAATATTCTCATTTTTGTAATCTAATTGCTTTGTACAATCGTACTGTATTTGAACCTTTTCTTTAGAGAATGCCAAATGAATGAGTAACATTGTCACCTTATGCGATGACCTGTCCAGCTGTAGCTCAGATATTTGAAACACATTCTTTAAATATTCTTTACAAATTGTAGATATATATACCAACATAAAAGGTTCGAAGATCACTCTCTTGTCATTCAGATTTAGATATCCTAATTTTACAATAATTCAAATATGTCGCCCAAAATGCACGGTTTCAAATTTAATCAAAATATGAAATGTTTACCTCTTTTTCTCTTCCTATCAATGAAATTGAAAATGTTTCCTGAGAACACACATAATGGGAAAAATCGTAACTCTGCCAAAATGCAAAAATAAATAAAAGTTGTTCTCCTTGCATACCTTTAGGCAGGTATATGGTGGCCCTGAAGGGACATCGCGAATAGACTAAATCGTGAAAAATATGCGATAAAATTCACGATATCGTCAATTTTATCGCATATTTTTCACGAAGAAATTCACGAAATTGACGATATCGTGAACTTTATCGTGAAAAGTTCACGATATAAAGTTCACGATATCGTCAATTTTATCGTGTACTCTATCGTGTACTCTATCGTGTACTCTCCTGACGGGCGCTTCGTAAACAAAACTAGCCCTAGCTGGGGGAGACAGAGAGAAGGAAAAAAGGGAAAGGGAAAGAGAAGATAAAAGGAAAGAAAGAATAATAAGAAGAAAAGAGGGAAACGGGGGGGGGGGGGGCGAAGGGCTCTTGCCTCCTCCTCACTCCCCCCCCCCCTCCCCGCCAAAAAATAAATCAGAGAGAGAGAGAGAAGGGAAAGGGAAAGGGAAAGAGAAGATAAAAGGAAAGAAAGAAGAGGAAGAAGAAGAAAAGAGGAAAACGGGGGAAGGGCGAAGGACTCTTGCCCCCCCCCCCCTCCCCCCGCCAAAAAATAAATCAGAGAGAGAGAGAGAAGGGAAAGGGAAAGGGAAAGAGAAGATAAAAGGAAAGAAAGAAGAGGAAGAAGAAGAAAAGAGGGAAACGGGGGCAAAGGGCTTTTGCCTCGTCCCCCCGCCCCCCGCCAAAAAATAAATAAGAGAGAGAGAGAGAAGGAAAGGGAAAGAGAAGAAAGAAAGAGAAAAACGAAAAAGAGGGAGAATAGGAAAGAAAGGAAAAGAAAGAAAAGAAAGGAGGCAAGAGCCCTTCGCCCCTGTTTCCCTCTTTTCTTATTCTTTTTCCTCTTCTTTCTTTCCTTTTATATTTTCTTTCCCTCTCCCTTCTCTTTCCCTTTATGGCGGGAGGGGGGAGGGGAGGTAAGAGCCTTTCGCCCTTCCCCCGTTTCCCTCTTTCCGTCTTCTTCTTCTTCTTTCTTTCCTTTTATATTTTCTTTCCCTTTCCCTTTCCCTTCTCTCTATCTCTCTCTCTCTCTCCTATTTATATGTTGGCGCGGGAGGGGGGGGGGGAGGAGGCAAGAGCCCCTCTTTTCTTCTTATTCTTCTTCCTTTCCTTTTTTATTCTCTTTCCCTTTCCCTTCTCTCTCTCTCTCTCTTATTTATTTTTTGGGCGGGGGGATGCAAGAGCCCTTCGCCCCCGTTTCCCTCTTTTCTTCTTCTTCTTCCTCTTCTTTCTTTCCTTTTATCTTCTCTTTCCCTTTCCCTTTCCCTTCTCTCTCTATCTCTTATTTATTTTTTTGGCGGGGGGGGGGGGGTGGGGAGGGAGGAGGAAAGAGCCCTTCGCCCTTCCCCCGTTTCCCTCTTTCCTTCTTATTCCTCTTCTTTCTTTCCTTTTATATTTTCTTTCCCTTTCCCTTCTCTCTCTTATTTATTTTTGGCGGGGGGGGGGGGGGAGGAGGCAAGAGCCCTTCGCCCTTCCCCTGTTTCCCTCTTATTCCTCTTCTTTCTTTCCCTTTCCCTTCTCTCTCTCTCTCTCTCTCTTATTTATTTTTTTGGCGGGGGTGGGGAGGGAGGAGGCAAGAGCCCTTCGCCCTTCCCCCGTTTCCCTCTTTCCTTCTTATTCCTCTTCTTTCTTTCCTTTTATATTTTCTTTCCCTTTCCCTTCTCTCTCTTATTTATTTTTGGCGGGGGGGGGGGGGGGGAGGAGGCAAGAGCCCTTCGCCCTTCCCCTGTTTCCCTCTTATTCCTCTTCTTTCTTTCCCTTTCCCTTCTCTCTCTCTCTCTCTCTCTCTTATTTATTTTTTTGGCGGGGGGGGGGGGAGGTAAGAGCCTTTCGCCCTTCCCCCGTTTCCCTCTTTCCTTCTTCCTCTTCTTTCTTTCCTTTTATATTTTCTTTCCCTTTCCCTTTCCCTTCTCTCTCTCCTTATTTATTTTTTGGCGGGGGGGGGGGGGGGGGAGAGTGAGGAGGAGGCAAGAGCCCTTCGCCCCCCCCCCCCGTTTCCCTCTTTTCTTCTTATTATTCTTTCTTTCCTTTTATCTTCTCTTTCCTTTTCCCTTTTTTCCTTCTCTCTGTCTCCCCCAGCTAGGGCTGGTTTTGTTTACGAAGCGCCCGTCAGGAGAGTACACGATAGAGTACACGATAGAGTACACGATAGAGTACACGATAAAATTGACGATATCGTGAACTTTATATCGTGAACTTTTCACGATAAAATTCACGATATCGTCAATTTCATCGTGAAAAGTTCACGATAAAGTTCACGATATCGTCAATTTCGTGAATTTCTTCGTGAAAAATATGCGATAAAATTGACGATATCGTGAATTTTATCGCATATTTTTCACGATTTAGTCTATTCGCGATGTCCCTTCAGGGCCACCATACAGGTAGCTACCATGACATACCTGCAGCAGTAGATGCTGCTGCATGAGGCCAGTCTATTAAACTAAGAATCAGGGGTTGAATGAACGAGAAGACTTGGTTAAGAGTGGTTTACGGGGAGAGGGTATATCATGCCAATTTAGGGGATCAATGGCTAATAAATGAATGGGATAATGGAAAGAGACGGGTATTCAAATGAGCTGAGGTGACTGTGAGTGGTAGAAATGACATCCAGGATCCAGAGTTCCTTTGATGGATACAGACTTTAAGGAAAAAAGGGGGAAAGGGGGTATAGAAAAGGAATCTGACCAGGCCTGTTTGTTAGACATTCATAGATGTGATACTCTTTTATCATTCATTTTTCGAATATTAATTTTTTAATACGGTAATCATGCGCGAATATGTTTTAAAAGATTCCGAATCGGTCAATTGATATTTTTTGTCACGCGCAAACACATTTAACTTTAATATTTCCGATTTTTCATGAATAGAAAGGTATTCTAAATTGGTATCTTATGTTCCATCGTCTTCAGACTTCAGATTGTAATTCGGGCCTTTTTTTTCTTTTTCAATAATCACCTGAAGATTGTCAAAATGGGTTATTGTCGGTGATTGCAGACTGTTAGTCGTTCTGCCACACAAACTGCTATACACATCATGAAGATGATTCAATTTGAAATAAGCAATATTCTATTGTTTTTCCTAATAATTTTAGATACAAATGATGTACTCTGGTTTAAATAAATGAAATGAACATGAATCTTAACATTATACAATTGTTCTAAAACCTTTCCATGGAATTACCAGTTTCTGCATAAAACCCAGTATGGTACAGCCATGCTTAGCATTTCCCATCTTAGATAAACAAAAAGGAGGTTTGACACACCTTCATGTGTCGTTGGACCCTTATTTGCTAATGTGCAATATTTTGCATTGAATTCATCAAGCCTTTTATATTTAATCGGGCTTGAGTTGGTTCGTAATAATATACGGCGATGATGTCTTGGTAACGGAATTACCCATGACAAGAAGCAAAGTGGGTATAATTGGGGAGACGCGTGCCGTTTATGAAGACATCAACGAAACATTTCCACAACGTCCCAACAACGCGTTCCTTATAACCTGATGCTATCCAGAACCTGGTCACAGTCAGAAGGGTGTTGAATCAAAATATTTGCTTGTACATAGAGCGAACGCCCTTAGGCGCTCAAGCAGTCGAGATACCTTCACAGGTTCTTTTCGGGTCCATACATCTTAGGGTCTTCCTGTTTAGTCATATACTGCTCTTTTTTTACCTCTTGAAATACAATGATTTAGAGAAAATTGTAGAATATAATCCAATCTTAAAATGCATGCCTGAAAGGGAGAACATGATTAAGCGAAGTACGTAATTTATTTCATTAACCTCATCTTGCAAAGATTTGTTACGTACTTATTACCCGTCCCTGTTGCTTTCAGACTAATCCAATACAATTTCAAGTGTTTTTCTTCTTCTCCTGCTTCGAGACTGCTCTGTCAATGTTTATCTTCCAAGATATTGAGTATATTGTTTTGTGGAGAGCGAGGAGAGCCCATTTTCGTTACCCGCTCGAAATTGGCCGTATGCGTTGGGATGCACAGCGCCATAATAAAGAGTGACTGGCGACTTTGGGTCCAATCTAACATATTACCGACAGAAAATGGGTGAAATCTATAAGTAGCTTTACCCTTCTCTAGGGCGAGCACTGAGCCAAATTCCCCTCGAATAATTTGAGTTATCAATCTTGATATCTGGAGAGGAACCAACAGCTTATGTCTAGCGTATGCAAGCATGGAGAGGCTCACATGCAGCGAATGCCGTGTGTCATTCCTTTGGTACAATGTATATAACATAAATGTTAAATTGATCATAGAATCACAGAAGTTTCAGTATGAAACTAGCTAAAATCTTATTTCCAGAGGTTTAACTCTAACAATTCTGAGATGTATTTTGAAGTCACGGAATGTAGCGATACATCGTACCAAATAATACATTGTGGTAAATGTTTCGTTTAATATTAGATAGCTCTTCCAGATACAAAGTTGCGATTGGACACACCCATGATTATTTCCAAGGTCTTCATCTCTGTGACGGGTAGGAATAAATTACATTCCTTTTTTTTCGCAAGCAAGATTGCCAAGAACAAAAGCGAGATGTAGGTCCTGCTAGTCACACTTTGCAATTCCATCTCAACCCGTCACAATACCCGTAACAAAATGATCTTCCAAGGTATAAGGGGAGAAAATAGGAAAGATTGAAGATGATTAATTTTACCCCGAGGCTACTCTAGAAAAATAATGTAGGCCCGATCGCTTTCTCCTCCCGCACGCGCCCGGGTCCGGATGGTGCTTTGTTGTGGTTGGCCATTAGTTACGGAGATTATGCAGAAGTGATCCGTCGAGATCCAGTGAAGTGAATATTGCCTTTTTGTGTTGCTTTATTATCTGGACTGTTTTAACTGTTGTATTCGTGTATATCACGATCCGTAACCGTATACGTGACACGGGATTGTTTCAGAACTTAATGAAATGAAAAATGTCGAAATATGAACACTATTCTAAAAGGAAATGATATATAAAGCTATGGTCACAAATCAGAGCAGCGACCGACCGATCAGTAGCCTGTTCGGTCGCTGCTGGAATTTGGGCATCGCCCAGCGATTAGGTCGGTGCCCGGGCGGCGACCGCCCAGGCACCGAACGTATTTTGGGCGGCGAGTGAAAAGTGAGCAGGCGCCGACCAAATTTTAACTCCGCGCTAAAACTTCAGCGGCGACCGAGCGATGCCCTTAAAACGAGCGGTGCCTGGGCGGCCGCCGCTCGCTGGCCGGGCAGCCGCCGGGCAGAATTGGTTAAAAACTCGCCGCTCGGCCGCCTAGCAGGCTTCTTTTGGGTAATGTGACCATAGCATAACATGTAGAAAAGGAAATTGACCCCACCCACCAATCCGTTAAAAAATAAAGGATTTCGAGCACCTTTTTCCGCATTCAACCACGTTTCATCTGTTTTGTATTCCATTTGCATCACAATATTTGAAATGCAACTGATATTCGTCGATAAATGAAGATTGTAGTTCATATTGTAATTTATTTTTAGTCTGTCATTATGTGGCGTAGCCAACACATGAATAAAAGCGATCAACTGGCAGATGTCAACCGCGTCGCGACCTTTTCATCTTAATTCTTTTCATATTTGGGTAATCTGTTTTTGCTTTTGCTATTCTTATAATTAACGTAATTGCGCAGATTATGCTTTGTAAAAGATAAAATGATGAACGACCAGCAGTTAGCTGCAGTTTTGCGACACCGCCAGTTGTCTTGTTAATACAGTGAATCCATTATAGATTTTAATGGGGTGATTATATTAAAAGGACTATACTGGTCTAGTTTGCCTGATTAATTTGTTGTCGGTTTTATGGGGATTTCCCCACGGTGGATTTCGCAGCTATTATTGTGAACATGATCAACGGCAGAATTACCCACCAGTCCTATAAATTGATGAGATGGCCTTCAGTTATACAATGTAAATTGTAGCAAGTCTCCAAAAACAATTAACATTCCTTTAAAATCTCAAATACAATAAAAACAGTCAAATTATTTAACAATATTTATTACCGCGGTAATCTGTGTATGATTCACGAACGTCATAAAATAATGTCTGAAAGTCTGACGACATAATTTTGTGTTTAAGTGGCTAATGTGAGTCACATTCTGTAATTGCTGATCGTATTCTCTTTATATTCCTTTGTCGCAAACTTACAAGACTGCAAGAGCAGATTTACTATTTCTGTTTCTTTATCTGTACATTTCCAGTGTACTTGTGGCGTACCCTTTACCCGTCTTGTATTAAATGATGCATCTGTGGCGTCGCGCCAATGAGTGGCGTTCCGATAAAACCGCGTATGTGTTGACGGGTAACCTGCGATATACCTCAGTGTCTCACATATCTTTGGTTTTAAACGCCCAAGGATGATACTTGAATATGAAAATATTGTGATTTTTTTTCCGTGTACGTGTCCGACGATTAATGCACCGATAAGGCTAGATTTATATACATTCGAAGGTTGTTCCTAAAGCTTCATCGTACGACCAACGTGTGCAAGATATGCAATATACTGTTAGAGGTGTTCCCAACAACATGCCTTTACGATTGTATGCTAATGCAGAATGCCTGATTTCCGACAGTTAATACTGTGGTATAGATTAGGTTGATCTGTGTAAAATGCACCTTTAAGTCTAGATTTAAATACGTTCGAAGGCTCTTAAAAAAATGTGTCTTGAACTTGGAGTAAGCCGTTGACCAGTAGGTGAACCATCATTCCTCGATCCATCAAGTTCATGTTGCCCTTTACTTGCGTTTGGAGAAGAAGAAGAATCACGAATCCGGCTTTTGACCGCAAGTCGACAGGTCTAAAAGCCCCTATTCTTCTTCATCGGGTAGCGACCAAGATCTTATGTGACATAATATCACATCTGTTGTATTTTGTCATAGATCTTTTCCTCTACCACCTGAACTTAGTCTCATTGTGTTTTCTTTCTTGTCGTTTATGGTTCCTATTGAATTGGGAATAAATGGTGATCGATTGTAAGCGTGTGGTTGTGGCTTATTGTTTTCGGTCATTTAAAAAAAAAATAGCACATACGTTCACGGTACGTCAGAAGTTGATACAGTGCATATGAAAATCTGCTGTCTTGTATCGTATTACTTCGTCAGCAATATCAGAAACCTATTGTGAAAACGACGAGGAGAACACATTTCCTTTCCTCAAATAGCTTGTACATCTAATTTGGTGTTGTAAATAACTATAATGGATTAGGAATTTCAAACAAAGAAATTATTGCAAAGTTGAATTAGAAGAAAAAAAATCTACAATATAGCTGGTACTCGAAATTGTATTTAATTCAAGTTTTTTTGTTGAAAGTATGTGCTCAGTTTTAGTTTCCCGAAATTAGAAAAAAAACACTGTCGCCAGAGTAGTAACATTTTGTTTTGCGTACTATAAAAATAGTACAGGCGCTCTCTTTATTCATGCCACGACAACTTTATGTTTATTATATAGATATTTGAAGTATGGTTGACCATGAGAATGTGGAGCATTTCCGTTATTAGTGTCCATCAATGGACTATAAATCACATAAATTACTCTCCGAATGAGGTAAAACGGCGTCTTCGAGTCCAAGCGATGACCATGAGTGACTGGCGTAAAGGGTCAAGCATTAGTTTATCAACCAGACTTTACTTCTAGCATGGTAAATATGTAGAGTTTCGAAATTTTTACCATGAAGTCTGAGGGAAAATACCTAAACTAGTCAATTGTATGTTGAAAAAAACATAAAATGTCCCGAGAACGTCGTAGTATAGAGTGTGCTAGGAATTTCTTGCGACCTGCATTGAACAGTTGAGCTCACGAGGTTGACGTTGTTGAAATATTGCGTGAACTTTTGGCAAGACTATATGAAGATGGCGATGGAGGAGGTTGAAGAAAAGTGCAAGTGTATGAAAGCCTCGTAGAAAGTGCATGTATGCAGAAGGTCGACCTTATTTTGTTTTTAAAGAACAAATCCTTCCACCTAGCCATTTGTCTTAGGTCCTTTGAATGTCTTAGGTTGACATTTTCTAAAAATGTTAAATGCATCAAAGAAGTCTAGCATCAAAAGCTTCTACTTATATCACGCTTTTTAGTCCGTTTCGTTATGGCAAAAGAAAGGTTTCTTAGCTTGTTCAATGAATTGACTTTGTCATTAATCATAAGCCCAAAATTAACAACGCATTTCACTTCGAATATTTACCAAAATATTATAATCTGATCAAGATGTTTGATGTCATAAATCAGCTATTTTTTACATTGCATTTCATACAAAATATAATAAATGATTAATATCAAACGGGTTATGATCTTATGAATATGTTACGTATAATAAAGGAGCCGTTTTGATGGGAGGCCCACCCGCATTTTACTCCACGCTGAGTAGATTCCTGTCTAATAATAGTAGACCAGGGGAATCCCCTGGTGGACCTTTCTCTGTCTGCACCCCAAAGACTGTATGGCCATGGACTGACCGGCTGGTCAGCGGAGGGAATGTTTTATAGGGTCATTACTGGCAGACTGTTTACGTAGCGGTCTGGTTCTGAGGCATTCTGGTCTTGAGATGTAGCAATTTTGAGAAATGCATGTGATTCTTTTTTCCTTCTCATAAGTCGGTTGCTTTTTAGTATGAAAAAGAAAGGTTATGGAAAGCGTCATATGGAGTGTAGGGGTTTCAGGATGGAATTAATTCGGCAGGTTAATTTAACGACACAATGTACACAAGTGCTGTGAGTTATTACCCGAATTCTCGAGAAATAGTCAGGTCATTATTAATTTTTCCCGCAAGATACTGTTTTTTGTGTGTATTGACAAACCTTGTTTCCCTATGAGGTAGAAATTTACCTGTAATCATTTAAAACGACGCATTATTCTACTTAGTGTACGTAAGGAATTTTTTTAATTGGAACTAAGTTCGAATGTAAAAAAAAACAGTTGTCTCTGCAGACTTGTAAATGCAAACAAATTGAAGAGCATTACATACCCTTGAAATGCTAGGGGTTATTGCTGGCTCCCATATTTCACG